TAAGCGGACTACTTAAATAGGCAATCAAAAGTTGTATGTGTGGCTAGTTTGTACTCTCCAAAATATGTATACTGTACAGGCATCGTAAAGGGCTTAGCGTATGGTAAAACTTGACTAATAACTAAATAAAGAGAATTGACCAAGAGGTCATCTTAAAAAAAAAAAAAAAAAAAAATTAATATTCTGATCCATTGGGAATTAGCGGAAACAAGTTTCCGCTTATTTATATATGGATTAGAGCATTATTCATTAATCCCTGTAATATTGATTGAGTGGTTAGAGATTAGTGAAGTTTGATCTTTATTACTTATTTTTTTTTGACTCTTTTAATAAGAGATGCCGTGAGGTGTATTTTGTTTGACTACTAATTTTTTTTTTTTTTTTTTTTTAAGTATAAGCTTTTTTGCACTATTTTTTTTAAAATTTAATAGATAGATATAATTTAAAATTCAAACTTTATTAAAGGTCAAACTTCACTAGTTTACCGATATTTAAAACTTTGAACCAATATGAGTATCACTAAAAAAAGCCTGAAAATTTAAATATGGCTTATATTTAAATTTTCAGGTTTTCTTTTAGCGACACTTTTATTTAGTAATTAAAAAAGTATATATATATTTAGTTGATTTTTCATAGACTCCATAACGTGTGGATTGTTTGTTACACAAGCAATTGCAGATGAAATTTGAAATTCATTTTTTGCTAAAATCTCTTTGGTTTTGTTTACTAGAAAAGATGCTCTGTGTCTATTCACGAACAAATCGACAATATCAATAACATTTTCCTAGTGGTTCTTAAGTATTATAAATTTGTAAATGGAGTTGCCAGACACATCTGTCCAGCCATCTATACAGATTGTAGTATCAGTAAAGGTTAACATTATAGTTAATTTTTTTTTAAGAAGGTTCGAGAACGGCTCTGTCAAAATACGTTTTCGCAATATATCTTCAGAGGGAGGTTGATAACCAGGAGCCAATTCTTAGAGAAAATCTTGAATGTATAGATTTTCAATAAAATTGAAAGGAACATTGCTATATATAATGGTATTTAAGAGCTTTAAATAAAGTTTTCAGACTGTGCTAAAGACAGGGGTTTTTTACACCAATTTTCAATACTTTCTTGTTTTATCGACTTCACTGTTGATTCACCTACATCTGTTTCATCTAATTCATCTTGGCTATGCTTAGATCACTTACAGGTAAGAGTTTGTTCAGTAGCTTTTAAAAGATAATCAGTTTTTTCAGGAGTTTTCTAGTTATTATATTTAAGAATATGTTGATAAAGTCTTTCAGGTTTGTTTTCAACTTCAGACAAACAATATTTGCACTTAGCAACATATCTATTTTTCATTTTTTTGTCAACAGGCGGTAAAAGCCTATCTATCAATAGTTCTGGGTGGGGATCAGTGAAATCTACGAGAGACTGCATTGTTGTAGCTAATATGATTAACGATTTGGATTTAAAAAAAAAGTGATATATTTTTTTTTGATATGAATTGTTAGAACGATTTTGCTACAGCATTTATTAACTTCAATCTTTTTTATATTTTAGTCATATTAGATAAATATGATCCTTAAATTTTTTATCAATTTCATATTCAACATTTTTCTATTATTACCTGTAATAAGTGCTATTTGTATGTTATTTGGTGATCTATTCTCTTTTAAATGCGCCAATATACATTATTTTGAAATAAATCAAATTTTGAAATTTATATTTCAAAATAATACGTATTGTAATGAATATAATCACTAACAATTGTTTTTTTATTTAAAATATAAATTTAAACAAAAAAAAACTATTATACTACTCAATAACTAATACTTTAATCAATCAGATTTTAGTAAAATCTGCTGTTATGAATAATTCAGATATAATATAAAGACAAGGTTATTGTTACAAGTACAAAATTAAATTCTAAGAAAGACAAAATAAGGTATTCATCGTTTAACAAAATTCTGGGCATTTATAAATTAGGTATTCTAACTAGATATATCATTATTATTTTTATTTAGAAAAATAAGCATGAAGCATTATATATTATTAGAAATTAGCTAAAGCATAGTTAAACTAGAATTATTGAAATATTTAAAATAGATATCCAACTTAATAATCGCTACAATATTGCATTACTTCAAATGTCATTGGGTACTAATTTGAGACCATTCAGTTTTCAAAATAACACCTATAACATTATTCTGCGTTTGTTTTTGTTAAAGTATTTCATGAGTACTTTTTTAACATTTTTATTAGTCAATCTTTGTATTTTAAGCTTTTTTTATTAGTATAAATATGTGAGTCCCGAAGCCAGATATTATAGCGCTTTTCAAATTACTGCAACCAGCAAATTTCATGCATCACACCGAAAATCATGAATTTAGAAAAATGCCAATCTATGATTGGCTAAAAATTATTCCAATAATTTTTTAACCAATCATAGATTAGCATTAATTACTGCAACCAGCAAATTTCATGCATCACACCGAAAATCATGAATCTAGAAAAATGCCAATCTATGATTGGCTAAAAATTATTCCAATAATTTTTTAACCAATCATAGATTAGCATTTTTTCTAGATTCCTGATTTCCGGTGTGATACGTGGAATTTACTGATCACAGTAATTTGAAAAGCACTGTAAAGCAAATATATAAAAATAACTATGAGAATTAGTACAAACAAGAACGATGTTAAAAATGTATTTATTAATAAATTTAGGTGATTACTTAAATTATAATCATAGGACTCAAGGGATTCACAAAAAAAAATTTTATCACGAATTGATCAAATCGAAAAGTGATAATTAAAATTACAATAAAAAAAAAAAAATTTTACCTGGTGACGGCAATCCATGATAATTTGCATAATTTACAATAAATGTAAGAACATTTAAAATTGTTGCGAACGATAAAGCGTTATGAGATTTTCTTCCTGAAAGTGCATGCTTCATAGATTTAATACCATTTATACGATACTGCTGACGAATACTTTCCCATTTTTTATTTGATAGTGAATGTATAATTTGAAATGCTTTCTCGCAAATTTCATTTCCATTAAAAGTGTATTTTACAGTTAAGTTTTGTTTTTCTTTACCGCGTAATGTTTTATTTGGACGAATCATTGCATGAAGCATCCCTAATAAAAACATACTGTACTCATCTTTTGTTAATCCTCGAATGTTATCAAAAGTTTCAAATGCAGATTCATGGTTGATTTTGGTTAAACATGATTTGGTTTTACAACAGACCGTTGTACGAAGTTTATTATTAAATGCTTCTTTTTCTTGCTGGTCTAAAATAACCGTTAATTTTTCATTAATTTCACCTTCATCATTCTTCTCCTCAATAGTATTTTGAGAAAATATTATTTGAAATTTTTTTATTTGTAATTGAGTAAGAACTTGATTATCGGGATATTGCGTTTTTTCTTCATTTTCTATATGATACGTGCTTTCAGAAAAAAGTTCATTTGTTTCTA